CAACGCTTCAGACTCTCATTAGTAATAATTGGCATCGGAGACCGCCTGAGATACGGGAAATCGGGAAATCGATAGGATCTAAAACCCCGAGTCGATTCCGTTAGGATCGTTATTGGATATCGACTTTATAAATCGATTTATCGTTTGACACTATTGTTGGTTGTTGCTTTCAATTAATGTTTAAAGATAGTGAGTGTCAGATTTCTGGTTTTATTGACTGGGCAATGTTAGTGGTCGTTAGTCTGGTGTTGTCCATGACATTAACTAGGCCGATGATGTCCGTTTTTCTCTTTTAGTTGGCAAATACTTTTTGTAGGTATCTAGTGTGTACTAATCTATTGGGGCGACAGAGTTATATGAGATTCCTACTTATGGAATCCCCCGTATATTCACCATCAGTAAAGCAGTAGGGGAACTAGGAGTTCTTTTGGCACACGCTGTTATTTTTAGGACGCGTACACGTCTCGAAAAACCTCAGACACGTGCTATCCTCGCTAGGATATTCTATCTGGTGATCATAGGATTTCAATTCATAGACTTAAAAGCCTGCCTGTTGTTATTTGAGATTTGACAGAGAAACAAATAAATAAAAAAATTATCAGCGCTTGATTATGTCTTTCTCATTTCCATTCGACAATCGCCTTCAGAATCTCACGATTTTCGCGGAAGAAGGTCACCTTCGACCTTCGGTTAATCGACTAGGCCATCATCCTGGGCTTGCAAATTAAAAAACAATTTTGAGCTTCATCTAACATTTTTTTTTTTTTATTTCTTTATGTACACACAGAAAACAAGACACAGTACAGAGTAATAGGAAAATTATGTACAAAGGCACTGCTTATTTCTTTGAGAAATCTCTTCCAGCAGACCTGCGAGAGGATAATGAGAATAATAATAAAAAGTGATAAGTGTGTGTAGAACAAATAACACATAACTAAAACAACAAATACAACATGAGAATTATAGCCCATACACATAGCAAATATTATAAGTAACACAGTAACACTCGTATATGCGAAGAGTATAGAACCATGATCATTCGGTTGATGATAGATAAAATTGTTTGACCTTGTATTTAAAAACAGAAACAGACTTGCAAACTCGGATGTCAGCCGGCAACGAATTCCACAGTCTGACCGCGTGCACAGTAAAGGAGTGAGAATAGAAATTGGTTTTGTGGGAAGGGAATAACAAAACAGAACGTTGGTTGGACCTGCAGGGAGCATCAGGAGAACGAATGAAAGAGAATCGCTCACGTAAATATAAGGGAGAAGTGGGTTTATGTAGGATATTGAATAGGAGACATAATATTCGAGTATTCCTACGAAGGCGTATAGGGAGCCATTTAAGTTCTTTGCGAAAATGAGAAACATGATCGAATTTTCTGAGATTGTATATAAAACGGATACATAGACATTATATAGAAAAGCTGAAAACTTTATTCTTCACATCATATTCCCTCGAGCCATTCTGTAGGCATTATTTGGCGTTCAATTTGGTTGATGAATCTATCAGGCTAGTAGTGATCACAGTACCCATACAGGTATGTTATCTTGACTTCCTTCAACCTACTATACTATTTACTTTTTTCTTTTCATTACTCCGTACGCTGATGCTAGTGTGACCATTCTGTACTGAAAAAGTTTGGTTTTGTTTTGAAGAAAGTTCGTTATACCTACTGATTCGATACTTCAATCTAATATCTCAAGACGCGAGGCGACGTTCATAATTTATTTACGGCTTATCTACAATTGAGGTAACTTTTTTTATATTTTATTCTATGATTATTACGAAAACGCATAACATCGCCGGGCACGTCTCATTCAACTGTCCAGCTTCAATCAGAAATTCATTAAACTTTGTAATCCGATAACGGGCACACCTCAAAACACAACATTAAACATTCAACATGTCAATTCGCTAATGCCTTTAATTACTTACGAGATTAGTCACAGATTAAAAAACCAGTGCGTTTGCGGTTGTGTACTTAAATTACGTTGAACTTTGTTTAAAGCTTAGAGATTTCGAAGTGAAGAGGTAAAGTTGCCTGTAGGTTGCCGTATATGGTTCTCTGTTATCGTGCTAGACGAATCGATTAGGCCCGCTCGTCTCGATACATCGATTTGGCATGTTGATGATGTAATCGACTAACAGTCGATTATTTTGTTGCATCACTATAGATATAGTAATGTGAAAAGTGGCACCCACCATGGGATAGGAGGTCGAAGTTTCAAGGATCCAAGCTTGACTAGACTAATCCTATCATAACATCCAACACGGTCCTGGCCATGATTGCAAACAGACTGAACTGCCCCTATATAAGAAGACACTGTTGTAAAAGCATCTGTCTCTCATTAAGCTAACACAGTGACCGGTATGGTGGCGGTTACTCAGTTAACATTATTTCATTATTTATTGTATTAGTTCTTTTATTAATTTTAATTTTATATTAGTAATTGATAATTTTAATTTCAATAATTTTGATTCGGTTTCATTTGATTTGGTTTCATTTTTGTTTGTTTTTGTTTTTAGTCATCTATATATTAATACGTGAAGCAAAAACTTTGTATCCCTTTTTACGAAAATTGCGCTGACGGAGGAGTATGAAATTTTCCACACTTATAGAGAATATAGAGAAGAAGCGCACAATGCTAATTTTTTTTTAAAATAATGCATAAAAGATACATTAAATCAATAAAGAACACATTACACACACTACATACCATGTATTTAACGCACACACGCATGCATACTATTTATTGTCAAAGTTTTGTTCTTGGCGTCTGTTGTCAAATTGAGAATAGATTAAATATTGTTTGCCGTTTTTAATATTTTTTATAGTGTAGTCTTGGCGAAATTTGTGATTATAGAAGTATAAAATACAATCATAATAGTGTACAAACTTACTATTCCAATTAATTATAGTCGAATTTCGACTACTGCGGGGTCACTAGTTCTGAAAAATTGAAATTTTAATTTTATTGTATTTTGTTTAGATGTTATGTAATTGTATGTGAAATTTTATGAGCTTAAGTTGCCTGAAATAAACGCGTTTCATTTCATAACAAAGGCGAGGGTTTATATAGGGATTATATTTCTATTTAAAAGTTAATAAAACAATTATGTCTGTTACTATTATCACCTTATCTTAAAAATATAGTATAGCTGATTATCGTTGTTAGCCCTTTAGCGTTTATCATCAGATATACAAAGTATACAGGTGAGTTTGGTACTTGTGATAATTACGTTGTTTGAGGGTCAAATTTGAAATGTCAGTTTCTCTAACAGTTTATTATCAACAAAAAATCGATAATTTAACGATGTAAAATAGAATGCTTGTCTATTATCGATTTTTTTTCCGAATTGAACCTACTACACTAGAAATATCGCTTGGCTAACTGTCCCGCATTTATTATACTATATTTAACAACCTACATTAACAATTTAAAGCCCATAGATTATAAGCGTGCTTTATTTTCGTGTTCAACAGTACCTACGCCGAATTCGCTAAAACTAGGCCACATCGTGTTTTAACGTTTCGCTTCCGAACGTATTAACAGCGCTTAAATGCGATTTACGATTACAACAGTTATAATTTAGTAGTATCGATTCTACAAAATAGTTAAGATAGCCAGTTATCGTCAAGAAGGATACGCGGTAGATTTGTGAAACATTTCGTGTAAATTTATGCTGTCATTTCTCTGGTTACGTGGTCTAGTTAAAATTAGCACTCTATATTGTTTCACTTCGATTATTTCGATGCCTCCAATGAACACTACGCTAACTCCAAAAATTCGTAGGTTTACAGGAGGAGCGTTTAAACGAAAAAAGTTGATAAAAGCGTTATTATTGCAGATATATTTATGGTTTTTTTTGTGTAACTAACTGATTTACTCTTGCTTCGAACCCCATCAATATAATTTGTAATACTTTTAAAATAGTGAAGCGATTTTCGTGAAAAATGAAAATTTCAAAATTTTGAGTTAGAGTAGTGTTCATTGGAGGCATCGATTTGTACGTATGTCATAGCTTTAGTCGGTAACGAATAGAACTAGATAAATATACATTGAAAGGTATATATTTTGAAAATTTTGAAATAATTTAAAAAAATAACACAATTGATATGATTTACAAACATTTTTAGGGTCTCAGATCAATATCTGCAGATATATGGGTCTATTGGGATGGATCTATTGGGAATACATACATGGGATTGTTATGTACTACTTCGCTAATGATATTTACTTTAATTTATTTAATTTATATAATAATTTTTTTTTAAATTAATTTTGACTCTGATGTAATTTTAAGATTTGTCAGTTATTGTTATACTTATATACGGAATGCTATCGAATATCGCTAGATTGTAGGTATACATTATCAAGTATAAAGTTAAGAATCCTGATGTTAACAGGCTATTTGTCAATCGTTATGACGACACTTTTTTACTGGTGGTAGGATCTCTTGTGAGTCCGCACGGGTGGGTACCACCACCCCGCCTATTTCTGCCGTGAAGCAGTAATGCGTTTCGGTTTGAAGGGTAGGGCAGTCGTTGTAACTATACTTGAGACCTTAGAACTTATCTCGAGACGCATTTACGTTGTAGATATCTATGGGCTCCAGTAACCACTTAACACCAGGTGGGCTGTGAGCTCGTCCATTCATCTAAGCTTCAACATCTAAGCTACAACAAAAAAAACGGCCCCAGTATTAGAAATATAGCTTCTGCTATTTTTCTACCTTAGTCTGCAATTTATATCTTAAGTCCTGGGAATAAGACTTTTTTCCATTCCTAAGCAATCCTATTTTGAAATGTAAGAGAGCTGTTCTGCAAATAAAATTGAGATCGTTATCTGTTGGCTTTCACGGTTTGGTGTCTATGGGCTTTTTTTTTGCTTAAAGAGCCTAACCTATTACGAGGTATTCGCACTTAGGGGGCACGAGGGGTCAGAACCCGGTCAGAGTAGGGGGGTTCTCGCGGTCAACACTACAACCAGACTAAAAATGTTTGGTTAATTAATGTCTTAACCAAATTGTGTGCTCCATCCTTGTCAAGTCGAGTGCTAACCTTGTCTCCTTTAACTGCGCTAACATCAGAACCGTGAATGTATCAGTATATTTAAAGTAACTATGTGAAATACGCGGTTTTGAAGTTATAAAAGTATTAACATTGGGATGACTACGCGTCGCGGCAACTACATATTATTTACGGGATATTTTTTCTCATTTTGTCCATTGTAATGTCACGATGGAAGGTCACGGGTCAATCGAGTAATTTGTACTATAATGTTGCATCCAAATTGATAATTGTATAATGATAGTACCTGAGTGATATTCAATTTTATCCCAAACAATACGCATACTTATACTGACAGGTTTTTCTGCGAATAAAGCAAGTGAGGAGAGTGAGGGCGAATGAGAGTGAGAATGGTGCGTTATTGTGTGCTTAGTGCGAGTTTTTTAACGTTCTCGACAGCGTAAAAGTTAATTCAAATTTGTATGGAGTTTGAAAGTTTTCCTACGTTTGCCGCTAGGGGCGCTGTTCCAACTGCATACAAATTTGAGTTAACTTTTACGCTATCGAGAACGTTAAAAAAAACTCGCTCTAAGCACACTGGATATGAAGTCACTACTGTCTTTAATTATTTTCTTGTTAGAAACGACCTCCTAGTGTATTATAGTAAATATCGACATTCATATTTTGATATATTTGGGCTTCGGTAACCTCTTACCACCAAGTGCACCGCGAGCTCGGCTGACCAACTGAAATCTAAAAGTTAATCTCAAAAATCGTATTTAAATACTCGAATAGGCCTCGATCATTAAATTATAAACTTACGCCCAAACGTGCAGTCGTAATGATATAACATTAAACATAATAGCAAGATAACGCTGCAGACCCTACATTTAATTGAAGTACTTGATTTACATAATTATGCGTTCAAGAAAAAGATATTCTTTACGGGTACTTTCTACTATTTTTGGCATGCGGATAATGTTAAGTAACTATGGGCTTTAGTTTCGGGTTAATCGTGAATTGGGGGCGCTAAGGATGGTGAAATTTTAGGTTAGTTGTATTGTGATTGATCCTATATCTAAATATAGATAACGGCATCCACGCCGTAGTGTCGTGGTGACTATTATTTTTTGAGTGTATGCCGATTTTATCCTCAGCACAGATAGGGAACAGAAATCACGAAAAAAAAAATCTATGACAATTTCGTACGTCAAAATTGCACGAAATGATCCACACAATATTATAAAAATATTTCTTCTACTCACTTCTTGACGAATGAATGACATTTAAAAAAAAATACTCGCGTTTTGTACTCTTGCAATTACAGTTAATCGTACGAAAGGAGGTGAAGAATGTGTCGAAGAATTGGATAATTCGTATAACATTTCCCTGACCGCTAAGGCGCTTAGTATCATTGCGCTACTTTGAGAAGGCATGAAGGCATTGAGACACGACATGAAAATCCTCTTGTCGTGGCCGCCGGTAATTACATACTCGATCCTTTGGACCGAATGGTAAACAGTCGACGTCAACCTAAGCACGTCATTATGGATCCTCTCGATCCATTAACGGTGCTTTTAGGTACCTCAAGCATCAGTCACTGTCCTCGCCGAACCCGTCGCTTGCGACGAAGGGCTTGACGAGTAAATTAACTCATAGACACACTGGGTTTCTCGCCGAATCTTCTCAGTGGGTCGCGCTTCCGATCCGGTGGTAGATTCTGCGAACACTAGGACACTGCTTTTGCTAGGCCCTGTGTTAGCAACACTCCCAGTTTGAGCCCCGTGAGCTCACCTACTCGCCCGGTTACGCTGACATAGCCTCTAAATGCTATCAGATTAGGTAGTAAAAAAAAAAACCCCAGATAAAAAGACGAGAAATTAAAAGGCTTATATTACACATGTGTGATACCGATGATTCATGATAGCCATCAAGCATGCCCTTAATGGGCAAAGGAACACGAAACATCGTAACAAATTTAATGCGGTTAATTAACCAGAAACTCATTGTTATGTCATTACGGGAACTGACATAACACGTTTTCGAAGCTCTAATTAATAATATTACAACGATCTTGATTATAGTAAAGACTTAACAAGATAACTAGGGTTGTACCGCATACCAGACTGTTGAAAAATGGTTGAAACATTTTTTTTAGTATAACTCTTCTTTTTTGGTGTAGTCTTCCTGACCTCGTACATGAGATTCCGCGCCCTAGTAGTAGTGCGGTAGGTCTAGATGGTCCGCAGATGTTGGAAACGGACAGCGGACCCAAGGGTGCTTTAGGTTCCTATCCACCACACGACTCTCTTACCCGACGTCCGATCTCCGCGTAGGGTCAGAATCCGGCCAGAGTAGGGGGTTTCCGGCGGTCAACATTACAACCAGACTCGTAGCGCCACCCCAAGGACGCCTTGACCAACGGGTCTTCGAGGCAATCCTACCGATACCAATATCTACCGCTAGGCCTAGCCTGCCTATTCCTGCCGTGAAGCATTCGGGCGTTTTGTTCTTAAATGCATGATAGTCGTAACAAAATGCCTGAGAATTTAATATCATTTTTTTTTATTGCATTTAAATTCCACCTCATCTCTTACTGGTGTGGAGTATATTAAAATCCTATAAGCTCTCATTAGGGGGAGCGTATGTACCTCAACCCGCGAATAGCAATAAAACTAGTGTATTTTTAGTGAATACGGCAGCTGGTATATCTCAAACATACTCGTATTTTATAATCTGTGGTTGCACTCCATATTCGCGATCGTAAAACAACCAGACTAACAGGACTAGTCTGTTCTAATTAGGATCCCATTACAAACTATGTTGAACGTGATAGGCACCCTTAACCTGATAACATTTCATTAATAAAAAAATAGATACGTTCATCACAAATCTAAATATAAATTTTATTTGAAGTACTCATGACCTCATCAGTGTATGAAATTGAACGCCCTAAGCGATCTTAAAGTGGCTTATAAATAGAAGTCAAATAAATAAAAATAACCACGACTAGGAACTGTTGTTTCTGTTTTGATGAGTTTTGATTCGATTCCCCTTCGCAGTCTAGCCGTAAGACCGTTTATCCATGCCAATGACAATATTATGCACTGTATATATGTATATTATAACAAGCTGTACCCGTCCGCTTCGCTGGGCATTTAAAATTAACATAATTTTTTCTCACCCCCACAAAGATTCTCATCATTAATACCCTTGCAACTGATGTAGGGAGTCCAACACTCATATAAATATTAGCCTATCCATTAAGTACATGTATTTTCTACATGGATACCAAGTTCCATGTCAATCGGATGCATGGTTCAGTAGTCATAACGGAACATCCGTAAAAACCACTGTAGATTTATATATTAGTATAGATTTTGGGGGCAGCCGTCACAGAACACAAGATATTTGATAGATGCCCAAATCTCGCTTACGACACTGTCAAGATAAACTTGCATATATACAAGTTCCGAACAACAACATTCGGACCGTCGGTCTAACGAGAAATTTAACCGGTCGGTGGAAGATCTTCCCTCCGACGTATATCTCTACACAATTAGTACATATACGAAAAATATATGTATTGATCATTTCACTGCACATCCACCGGCGTAGTGGCATTCTATAGTTGATTAACTATGTGGAAATATCCTTAATTGCTAAATCTAAACGCGATGCAACCGTCAATCGTGTTTACAGCCGGGAGGGATTATAGTTAGACATTTTATTACTCAGATCTTTGCCTTCAATATACTGTGGTATGAAAATAAATTATTTAATAGCAAGAACCGTGTAAGTGCATTGGGATTCGGTTTTCGCGTCAGTGTGCGGTTTGGTGTATGTTGGTAAATATGAGAGAACTAATTTAATTTAATTTATTGGATAAATAACAAATGAAAACAATAAATTTTTTAATTTTTTTTTTATTACTTACGTGGGTGGACCAGCTCAAAGCCCACCTGGTGTTAAGTGGTTACTGGAGCCCATAAACATCCACAACGTAAATGCGCCACCCACCTTGAGATACAAGTTCTAAGGTCTCGAGTATAGTTACAACGGCTGCCCCACCCTTCAAACCGAAACGCATTACTGCTTCACGGCAGAAATAGACAGGGTGGTGGTACCCACCCGCGCGGATTCACAAGAGGTCCTACCACCAGTAATTACGCCAATTGTAATTTTGCGGGTTTCATTTTTATTACACGATGTTATTCCTTCACCGTGGAAGTCAATTGTAAACATTAAATTTGTTGAGTACGTATTTCATTAGAAAAATTGGTACCCGCCTGCGGGATTCGAACACTGGTGCATCGCTTCAACACGAATGCACCGGACGTCTTATCCGTTAGGCCACGACGACTAAATAACAAATTATTAGCTAACTAGTCTGTTGTACTGTGTTAGAATAAACTCGAAGTTTAGAGTGAAGAGCAATTCCATAGTTTATGAAGGTTTGTTTGGCTTTGGCTACTAAGAGACCAGTATGAGATCTCGGCTTAAAAATATATTTTTTTAGATATCGACAGAGTGAGACTAGAACTTTAGCGCCATAACGAATGAGTCTTAGTCATACACCGCATTGCAATTCGCCAAAATCGACTTATTAATATCCACAAGCAGGATTGTTTTGAAATAGCAGCTTAACTAATCTATAACTTAAAATTCTAGTTCCTCGAGGATGGCGTTGGCTGGTTGCTTAGATAAACGTTGCATAGGTAAAAGCCCTATGGCACAGCAATGGAAGTCATGAATTCAACGGAAGTCTGGTCAAGTCAAGCCGATCGTGACATTTCTGTGGCAAAACGTATTAAAAACCATAAGTACTTAAAAATAGTATTTTATTTATTGCTTAGAGAGTGGACGAGCTCATAGCCCACCTGGTGTTAAGTAGTTCTTTGGAGTCCATACACATCTACAACGTAAATTCGCCACCCACCTTTAGATATTTTTTTTTATTGCCCTTGTAGGCAGACGGGCATACGGACCACCTGATGGTGAGTGGTTACCGTCGCCCATGGACTTCAGCAATGCCAGGGGCAGAGCCAAGCCGCTGCCTACCGCTTAATAC